ATAAAGCTCTTATCTTATTTTGCTTATCTTTATTCCCAAAATGAATTAGAGAGATTACTGTGGACACTAACAACAACATGTGGTGAGATCATGCAAAATTGTTCGGGAAGAGACAGGCTTTTCCAACAAGAAAAAACAAGCTGCACTGGCTGTGTGTATGTTGGGTGGGCTTCGTCGAGCACAAAGACAGTGTGGGTCTGATGTAAAATTGTTTCCTCTGCAGACAGTTAAGGTTTCCAAGATATTGAAAGTCTGGCACAGAGACAGATTGAGGAAAGGAAAAGAAAGATAGGTGGGTACGGATAAAGGACAAGCTAAACAAGCATGTATAGTATGTATTTTAAGAGGCAAGGTATGTTTTCGTGTACATGTATGAGTGTGTGCGTTGTAATTACACAGATGAGGACCATAACCATATTTACATACACTTACGTTCAGGCACATTCACAGAGAGATGCTTCCAGGTCTGAGCTCCAGTAATGAAAAGCATATGTGCTCCCGGAGACTGAACCTCTTCCAAGCTCATCATCTTCTTCTGGCTAAACACTTTCATCTTCACCTCAATTCAGTCTCTTTTCTTTAACGACCTCTCTAAGCATGTGTGCCACAAGAACCAATGTGCACATAATGTTTTTTTCCTTTCCTTCACTTTTCTGTCCTCCCTGTATATTTCCACTTATCCGCCTTTCCTTTATTCTTCCTGATGTGGAGAAGACAAGTACATTTGGTGCTTCTTCAAACAAAGACCCTGATATGAACCAGATGATCCAAAGATGAATCTAAAAGAATCAGGTGTATAGATTGACCATGTAGGAGGATATGTAATTCAAAATCGGTGGATGGATAATAACATGAGCAATATTTCTATCACCAGCCTTAAAGTGAGAACCAAAACCAAAACAGTCTTGTGTTGGTCACAGGCATCTAAAACTCAAACCTACCTACCTATGTATTGTCTGCACCGAGAAGCTTTCCAGACGGCTGTCAGATCTACTCACAGAGACATGTTGCTGCAATGACTGATGTAATCCATTATTTTAAATTACAAACAATTGTCCAACCATGATTGTATCTTTCATGTAACCATTGGGACTATTTTCACTTTTACTCCATTACTTCAAAATTTTATGTTTATTCAGTGAAACTAAAGAGCCAAAGTAAAGTGAAATAAGAGTTGAGGACTATTTACACACAGCTTCCAGTTAATTTGGTACAATTATCTGAAACTAATGCAGCCTAATACAACAGCCCTGCAATCAGTCCTACCTCCAGGACATTTTGGAGACTATAGGTTGTGGTGTTATTGAGATGTAATGTTAGTAATAGGCTCATATTACCATGCTCACAATATCAATTTCCATAGGTTTTTCAGCTCAGGGGTTGCGGGCGCAGCACTGAGGGTCAGCTTTGTAGAGTTACGGTTGGAGCGACTGAGAGCCCACACCATTTAGTGTTTTATCTGAGAAGTCAAGCTGAGCACCGACTACCAAATTTGATTGTATTTTCAACCAACCAAAAACAGTGAAACGAATTAAATAAAACATGAACATCTGTGATGAACAATGTTTTGAGACTTGCCACTGTGCTGATGCCAACTCAAGGGAAGCCCCCCAGACAACTGACTGCCAGCATTTAGACACTGCTATGCTATGTTCTCACACACACATGCACACGCACACACTTGTAGACTTACTCTAACCTTAACTAGTTACTACTTGCTAAACCCTAACTCTCACCTGAACCTTACCTTAATCGAAACCTTAAAGCATGTCTTCACCTTAAAATGTTAAGATTTACGTCATGACAACTTTTTGTCCCCAGAAGGAAGAAGAGTCCCCATAATGTGATTCTGTAAACAGATTTAAGACCTGAATAACACCTGGACCACACACAAACATATATACTTTATCAGTCTTGACACTAATAAAGACCATAATGGGTATCGACAATATATTGGAAACAGATTAGAATGGCGGCTATAGTATTTCATCCATGTTCTATGAGAGGGAATATGAAAAAATGAAATTGCTTACAGATTCAGACTCATAATATAACATTTCATTGTTCTCAGGTTATTATATTGCTGTACAACATTACTATTGTCAGTTTTCAGACGGCAAGAGAGAGGTGGGACAGACAACACGTTGTATTCAATTTGTTCTCTGTGAGTCGACTGGTGAGCTAATCGTGGACAAACACACCAAAAATATCCCACCCAGACACATTTTTTCTCAACGTGAACCAGACATTTGTAATGATACGATAAAGCTACACCAATAGTGAGAACTGTAACCGCAATGCTTCTTGTTAACTCCCTTCACACTGCCTGAAAGTGACAAGACGCTAGCCTATGAAAGCCAAGTTTTAGAAATCACTGAGACGAGGATTGAATCCACCTTTGCTTGCGGGGAAAAACTGAGACGCCATCCAACAGCTGTTCATAGAAAGAAAATTCCTCTCTTCCAGCTTTCAGTGTACTGTCAATGTTAGATGATGACAGGCCTCACAATTAGTGTAACATTTACAAGGTCTTGCATGAGCTGCACTGCAGTCACGCTACTCACATAGCTTGCTGCTACGCTTTATTACGGGCCAGGAAGGTGCGTGTCTGGGGAGTGCAATGTCACCACTCGGCTTCTAGGTAAAAATTAATGGCATCTTTTCTCATGTTTGTTTGAGTGATTTACGATTGTTTTTGACAAAGATCCTGTTTTATGTATTATTGCTTAATAAATAACGGTCAATGATCTTTTGTATGGTGGTAGCAAGGGATTTCTTCTGGCATGTTTTGTCACAAGTCAAATACTGGCAAGCTGATAGGATTCTACTTGCCACTGTGTGAGGGTTACAAACTGGTGAACTATAGATGCACAGTTATGTAGTAATGGAAATGTAATTCTTGTCATTTATTCATACAATTTGCAAATCCAAATATGGATTGCTTAAGGTAATTTGATTCTGTTGGAAAGGAAATGGCATATATAAAAAAACTCACCAATGACAGAAATATTCAGAGATCACTGAACATAATTACGGTCGTGAAGCCGAACATATCACAACCCCTTTGTGAATTACAGTCTCTCCTTTCATTTAAATCGTAAAACCTTGTCTGACCCCGAGCTGTTCAGTCTTTGTTTAAGGTTTTCCCTTTTTTTCCATGCAACAGAGATTAGTATGGAATGTAGGAAGGAGCACCTACACCCAAATTGAATAAAAACACAAGGAACCGATTTTAACATCGGTTGCTTCCCTTTTTCTCACTAACGTAATTTCTGCCAGGTACGCCTTGTGAAGGAGAACTTGAATTCATACAAACGCTGGGACAATATTTCCCATGTAGAGCTCTGCTGATCCCAGCCAAGATCAACTTCCACCAAATACTGGATATTAGGTCATTTTCACAAAATGGCTCTCTAGCAAGTTGTACTGTACTGTGCTGGCAGGGGTGTGGCCCTCCAGAGGGACTCCTCAGTAACGGGCTGCATGAGTTATCAGGACAATCAGACGATTGCTTGGTTCCTTATCTTTCTAAACACATAGAGGTAAGCTCAGATTGTATCAGCGGTGCTTACGGAAATAAATGATGGCTAAATGTTCCTACAGCACCAATGCAGTGCAGGCTGAAAGGAAAATATTTACTGTACGGTATCCGAGAGAGGGGCCGTGGTAAATTTCAATATCTGTTTCCAGATATTGTAAGGGTCCAACATTACAATAACATTAATCAGTACTCTGGCACCATTGCTTGGCTGGCGTTGATGGCCGTTTGCACACTGCCAATCATCACTCCTTTATACAGCTGATGTGTAGGATTGGTGGAATCTTTGTATGGGCCAACCCAGACAGGACGCAACAAACAGCTGCCAAGTTAGTTTAAACCAGCCCCGACGAAAACACAAGGGCGATAAGAAAAACTTGGTGACAACCAATCAAAAGACTCTTTCTCTTTAGCCATTGCTGAGTATTTATGCAGGTCTCTGTTGGTGTGTGTGGGTGTATCAAGCAGTCTGTACATTAACCTACTTTATCCACCTCATAACAATGCACTCTGTTTCCTTCCTGTCAAAGCACTTGAACATCATATGTAATGAAGAAGAGTTTTTCTGTGTTGTAAACAAAAGAAGTCTGTTTCCCTCTATTACAGTATTGTTTTACAGCTTTACAGCATAATGTAAACTGAGCATGAGCACACTACATCTTCAAAAGATTTCATTAAAATGTTGATTGCTTTTTTTTTCCACAAATGGTATAGAACATTTGACAGTTTTAATGTACAGTTGGAACACATAACATAAATCCAGCCCATTCTATTACACCTGTTAAAAAAACTCGTGTTCCAGCTTACCTTAAAAGTAAAAGATTAAATATGTGGTTTCACGCAGTTTTCAGACAATGTGAAATAAAAAGATACAATCTTTTAAAAAACATTGTTTTCACCTTAAACGGACTGATATCAATGAAGATGGGACGGGAAAGGATTAGGACATGCAGCACAGACTGTATATAAAGATTGATTATGCATCTCCATCTCTTCCCATTATTCCAGAATTGAAGGCAAAATATCCCAGATATAAAAGCATCCCGGAGTCTGTAGCAATAAGGAGATGAAGTCATGAGGTCTCTCTGACCTCGAGTGAGTTAGTCAGCTTTCAATCATGACATTTCTACTGATAAAAAAAAAAGACACTTGAACATACATCAGTGTGATAAGAACTACCCAAGATGACAAAACAGCTTTGAGAAAAATGTGTTTGATGTGTACTCTGACTTTTTGGTTTGAACCATGTCCCATCCACTAACATAGAGGCAGGATTTATGATCTATACTGCGATCAGCCATCAGGGAGCTAATGAGACACTTAAGCTTCACTTATGGGGAGCTGTCATGTCATCCATGTTTATACAGTACAGTCTATGAATTGAAACGAAGGCCCCAAGACAGAAATGAATGAAACAGTGCAGCTTCCAGGCGCTGATATCTGACCAACAGCAGCTTCATACCTGCAATGCCCTGGCCACCAGGTCCAACACCTCCTGGCACCAAACCCCCTGGGCCCACACCCTGGCCTCCACCACCTCCATGGCCTCCACCTCCATAGCCTCCTATTGTCAGGTATAAAACAGCAGCAGGTGTGATTGCGATCAGTACCTTCATCATCATTATTGTTGTCATTATTCACCAGAATCATCTGCCAACAATGTTCATGTCATTATGGCCTCCTCATGAATATACATTAGGCTCATGACTGAGGTTGTATGAGAGAACAGATCTCACATTTCCAAACCTCAAATTTCCAAATGTGTTCCAATAAACTAGCTTAATAACAGTGGTTGGACTTAAAGACATTGTTTATTGCAACAGCAATATCCCGAAGGGATTTAATTATTCTTGCTTGTGATGCTGAGCCTATGAAGTCTCAGCATGTGTTTGCCCAACATCTGACGAAACCAGAACCAAGTGTTGACAGGGAAATTTTGTCTTTAGAATTTGTTTTTCTCCTTGTTGTTATTAACATAAACCTCACAGTTTTAAGCTCCAACTTGAGATTGCACGTAGCTCTCAAATGGATCTGAAAAACATCCAACTTACAACTCTGAGTAAAGACATTGCAAATTCTCATCAATAGTTTTTTTCCAGAGTGATGGCTTATGTTATCGTGTGAAGCCACACAGGGTCAATGGGAGTTGAAGTCATGCCAATGTGCCCACGGTTGGTGAGCTGCTGCTTAAGTGGCAGGCATCTGTTATGGATGTGTGAAATGACAGACAGCAAACAGAGTATCTGTGTCTCTGTATTGAGCCCAATGAAGGCAACAGCCACTTGAACAAACAATCAGAGCCCTGAGAAAGCAGAGCCGCTGGCATGACAGAGAGATTACTAAATGGAGAAGATTTAATTGATTAATATTTAAAAACAGGAATTAGCCTGTAATAAAGGTAAATAAATAATGGAGGGATAAAGTTTAATAAGTGACTGAAAGATAAAACCACATGGGTTCATCTTCAAATTAAGTATCAAGCAAAGTTGAGGCCAAAAATTTCAAAAAAATTGAAGTCTGATTTCTACATTTTCACAATTAAATTAATCACATAAAAAAATTGCTTCTTGTTTTCAAATCACTACCACATTTGTGCATTTACCAATTTGTGACAAACCAGATGTTTTATCTTAAAAATGAATTTTATATGTTGAATAACATAACTTCTTACCTGCAGCTTTGGCTGGTTTATAGCCTGAAGGGACTCCTCCAACAGACCCTGGTAAAACAATAATAACAAAGTATTATTGTATTTATTATTGAGTTAAGATGTAGCAGACAGTTGTTTGCCAAACAATTCATCGTTTCAGCAGTTGGCTTTGTCTCAGGGCACCAGGAGAGTGTTGTGATATCCTGTATGTCTGCACTGATGGATCATGATGGAACAGGAATCCATACTGACATTTTGAGTGGTTCAAAATCCATACTCCATTTTTAAAATGTCACAATATTGTAATAAAAGCAGTAAGATATGCTGTACACCATGCGTGTTCGTATGTGTGTATGTTTACATCTGATCCCCTCCTGTGTTTAGTGGTTGAGAAAATGCATTGAGTTTGGAGAATGAAAACACTGTAGAGGACAACACAAATGAGCTGCAAAACATGCACATTGGAAAAACTTTCATCAACATTTATTACCTTCACCAAGAAGTTGTCGCCTGCATTTGTTTCTTAGTCAGTTAGCAGGATTACCCAGAACCTACTACCTCTACTACTGCACTGATTACCATGAAACTTGGTGGAAGGATGCTATATGGGTCAGGGAAAAAACTATTCAAAATCTGGTATATTTAAGGAACTGATATTGTGTACTTTGCTGCAGAAAAAAAAAAAAAGTTTTTTATATATAGTCTGTATTTTATGTCAACACATAAAACAGTAAGTATCTTTACTTTAGGTTCAATGCCATATTGAGATTCTTTTATATTCTTGTTTTGTTTTAATAAAACCTCTGCTCTACAGCATAATTTGACTCTTATACCTCTGTTAATCATAAACAGACTGTTTGTTGTGGCTGAATTCTGGATTATTTTTCTTTGAACAGTCCAGACAAGTCATTGGAGGCTCTGTTACCTGGAAAGAATCCAGTGCCTGTTCCAGCGCCTCCTGGTCCGATCCCAGCACCAGGTGGTACATACACACCTGGAGAACACAACAGAGAGCATGCAGTCATCACCATTATGTGTCACCAAGCCAAAGCAGCTTTCTCCCATCAGTGTTTTTTACTGAACAATGACCTGATTTATTAGACAATCAATCTCCAACATGAATCATCAGTGACTTGAACAACACAACTGAAACCTGTCCTCACGCCCCAGTTCACGGCAACGATGCAGCACATAATAAAACCTGAACACAGCAGCTCCAACCAGAGCGGAGAAATAAAAGAAAAGAAAAACTTTCTAGCCTTGATTAGAAGTAAATTCCTTCTTATGTTTTCGTTCTGATGAGGTATTGCAGTTGGAAATCTTCTTTCAGAAAACTGCTGCAGCAACATGGACAATGTTGACCCCCACCTCCATCCCCCAGCCTCATTTCAAGCAGATTTCTGGCTGCGCACCAAACTAACTCCTGAGATGGTCGTTCTTGATCCCAGAAACAGTGGCCTCATGTGTGCAAGGAACAACAACAGCCATAAAAAATAAAAATGACTGCAGTTGTTTTGGGACGACTAACAGCTAAATCCACTGGGACTGGTGAGCTAAGGCAACAATTACACTTACATTTTTTGAGGGCAAACCTGGTTTATATCAGTAAAAAGGGGAGATCAGGGCTGCAGGACCAAGGTGATTATGTTTAATGGTTCTTACATGTGTTAGCAGGCCAATTAATTTAAACCACATGTCACAGACATCAATGTGTTTATTAGCAAACACTGCAAGAAAACAGCACTTTGTCCACTGAGTGCAGCCATTAGGGGAAGAACATTACAATGAATTACTGTCCGATTGGGTTGAATGAAAAGTCATGGCTTTGACCTCTGAAGTCGAGACATATTTATTGGAGTACTGCCATACTAACATTAATATTCTCTGTATTGCACAGTTGAGGTTAAGAAAATGAGCAGCCAGTGCCAATAAATAGAGGGAAAACCAGACATGCTGTAAGGATCAACTTGTTGTATTGGTTTATAAAGATAATGAGGATTAAGAAAAAAGTAGGATGACTTCAAGAAAAAAGTATGACATTTTATTCAAAGAGTGAATCAATAACATGATAATAGGTCCAGGGCTCTGTATTTCATTATCAACTGACAAAATCAATACAAGTAACGTGTGTGTGTGTGTGTGTGTGTGTGTGTGTGTGTGTGACTGTGCCCGTGCCTTTGACTCCGTAGCAGTGGTTTTAGGTGCAGGCACCACACGACGGAGATGGGGCGATTGTTTTTAACTCTGCTCTTTCATTTCGCTGTGAAAAGGAGGATTTCCTGTCTCCGCATCGCAAGAGAGGGAGTGTGTGTCTGCTCCCCTTTCCTTTTTCTAAGAATCCCATCATGCTACTGTACCAGTTTTACAGAGTGCATTAGGTTCACTGTGGCCGTGTATCCAAATGAGGCATCTGCTGACTTCTGCCAAGTAACTTGACCTTCCTCAATATATCTAAAGATATCATTATGATTGCTCTGATTATCATAATCATCACTGTGCGTTTACACTGCTTGTGAAGTCAGCCAGGTTATGGGAATGTGCTGGAATGTGTGTGAAGGACAGGACTGACTTGTAGACCGCAAGGGATATGAAGAGGTATAATTTATTTCACAGTTGACCCCAGACAAGAGTTTGCCCTGAGTGTTTGTGATATGATTAATGTTGGTGAATGAAAAACAGAGAAAAAAAGATTTGAATTTTTTTTTACCACGCAGTGACTTTTATTTGCGATGAAACAATGGTTAGAAGCATCACTTATGACTACATTATTCAGATGGAAACTGAGAAATAAGTGTCAGAGTTTTACTACTTAATTTTGACGATGTGTAAAATGAAAGTCAGGGAAGCGTTGATAAATGACAGGTTGTTGACTGAACCTTTTACTGTTATTTTTTTAGTCTAGAGTTGTTCTGCGTGTATTAGGAGGGTGATGATGTACATGCACTCTAACAGGAATCCTGACAGTGTTTTAATTTTGTCCTAACGCCATTTTAAACTCACTTACAGAGGACAGAGTGTCAGTAAGCTACTTATGAAGCCAGTCATCCGTAAAAAGGGAATTGAATCAAATATATAGAGGGGTACTTAGCACAGCAGTGAGACAGCAACACTGAAGTGTGTTTGTGTCAAACCCAAAGGAGAAAAGTTTGGATTATTCTAAACTTTCAATTTGCAGGGGCAGGGCCATTGGCCCCAGCTGAAATCTGATTGGCTGCTATCCTGTCATTAGTCTTTTTCTTACATAGACTGTCTACTAACATAA